CACGATAGAACCGACAACGCTGAATGACGTAAAAAGTGAAATTTAAGTTAGTGCGATATTTAGCCTTAGTGATCTAAGCGAATTTTGTAGAGTTCTTTAAACCGAGAGCGTGCATAAAAAGAACGCCTAAATCTGACTTCGTATGAGGAAGTTATGATTTTTCGAAATTTGACTTAGCGATATGCAGCCCGAATACTCGAAATAGAGATCGAGTGATATTTAGCCAAAAATTTCTAAATGATAATTGAAGATCTCATTGATAGTAGTCCAACGATAAAAACATAGACGAAAACGGAGTTCAGATGAAGGAGTTATGAATTTCGAACAGAGTTTTCCTGGCCCGGCCTACTAAAAATACTATATAAGTAATATACTTATAATATATTAAAAATAAATTCAAAATTATCCAATGGAGTCTAAACGATAGTTGTAGAGCATAATCTCACCTTCGCGTCGATATAAATAACGTCGAAAACGGAGTTCGTATGTGAAAGTTATGAATTTCTGAAGTACGGGGCGCGAACCCAAAGCTGTGTCAGAGACCACGACGTGGCAAGTCTTCTAACACCTCCGGGAGTCCCCCAGATGCAACTTGCGATGACGTATGCAGTGACGACCAAGCCCACGACGTGGAAAAAGGGTGCCACGACGTGGCAAGGGCCAAATTTGCCCTATAAATATATTTGAAGGGCCAACCGTTTAGCGTTGCTATTTTCTATCCTCTCTCTCTCTCTCCCATTTTACCTCGATTTACGTGCAATAAATATCCCGAAGCCCCGAAGATCCCGAGAAGTGTGATTCCCGAGCCGAAGCTCTGCCCGCGAGAAGTTCGATTTTTGTGAAGATCTTCCAGATCTACTGAGGATTACTACTACTATAAGTCGTAGTGTTGTCCGATCATCTTCTGATCAAGTGAGTGTGTAGTTATTTTCTTCCAATACAATATTATGAAGTATTTTATATAAAATACATGCTATGTGTATATATTTTGTTGTTATGTGTGTGTGTACCTCATCTGTTATGTGGAATATGTATTGATTAAAGCAAGCTATACAGGTTTTTAAACTATGTATAAAAATGTATATTTTTATCTACTAATATGTTGGGTAGAACATGGGTAGATAGTTGGTGTGTAATAAACAGATGAGAGGCCTCGTTGTTGTTTTGATTCAGTCATCTAGCGGAGTATAGATGACGACCACAAACATTTCTAGATAGTCTTGTGGAACACTAGCAGGCTCGCCACATGTAGGTGTTAATGAACTTGGGCGTTCATTCGTTGTACTCCATCCCACTCATGGTTGGCTTATTTGACTTATATTGCTGAGGAACCCCCGAAGCATGTGTTGTCGCCCTGATGAAATATTCTTAGACTAGGTCCCTTATGTTAGTTGTCTTAGGGATGTAAAGTGAGAATAACGGGAATGAGTAATTGGGTTATTGTTGGTTGGTGGAATTAAATATAATTATTTATTGTGGGTTGAAAACCCTATATGCTCACCAAGTTCCCAAGCCTGACCCACTCAGTTTCTTTGTATTACAGGTAGTGGTGCCAGAGCATAAGTTTGATGACTTGTCAAGTTATTTTTGGATTGTAGACTTGTTGTTGTAAATAACTGTTGTAATGTCTATATTTAAATGTTTATGCTTTTGGTCTGTTTATCGGAACACGACATCCCGAGTATTGTAATATAATGAAAAATACATTTCTTTAAGAAATGCTTTGGTAAATCTTATTTTATCATACTTTGTTTTTTGGAACAAATTTCGTAACTCTTTCAAATCAAAAGGATTTACTCTGAAATTATTTTAAAAACATAAATGAAAATCGGTTTTTTCTGGCCGTGATTTTGGGATGTCACAAGAGATCCCCAACCTCCCTGCTTTATGTTGTTCTATTAGAGATATGAACCTAGGTTGCCATTTTAGAAGCTATTTCACCAAATAGAGTCTTATATGTGTTGCATGGGTGTAAAGATTAAACCTTTGCGTAGTTATTGAGTCTTGGGAAGTCAGATCTGTAGGTTAGAGAAACAGATCTTACCTCAGAAGATCATTTGAGTGTTTCCATGGAAGGAACTTGCCGAGTCCATAAAGGGACTCGACGAGTCGAGTCGGGTTGCCCCGCGATTCGTGACCAGTGGTAACCCGTCGAGTGAAAGGTTAACTTGATAAGGCGAGTAAGGATTCATGAGGATTATAACGACACACATGGACTCGCCGAGTCACACTAGTGCACTCGACGAGTCTGGTCAAAGTTTGAACATTGACTATAGTTGACTTTCGTTGACTTTTAGAGGTTGGATCAACACTTGGACTTTTATACCATTAGAAGGGTAAAATGGTCTTTTAGCCTTCTGAGAGAACATTGGAAAGGAATAGTCTAGCCTGGAGAGCTGTTATTGATTTGAAATGATTTCTTATGTGTTTAGGCGGGGCTAGGTCATTATTACGAGGTTCGGGGATACCAAGCACGTGAGTTACTAGACAACATACGAGGTGAGTCTTCTCATTATATTTTACCTAGAGTGGTAACTATGTGTGACCGGAAGGTCTTATATGCTATGCGGAGTATGTGATATATGTTGCTATGTGATATGCATGTGTTATACTATGTTATGAGTACCATGATATGGACCGGAAGGTCAACAGTGTATGGACTGGAAGGTCATACGGGTAGGGTCGGAAGGTCTACCAGGGTTGGGATGGAAGTCCCCTGAGACACATGGATCGTAAGGTCCCCATAGAGCTATGGCCTTGAGTGGCATATGTGTTGTATGTGGTGTTTTGGGGAACTCACTAAGTATTTATGCTTACAGTGTTACGTGTTATGTGTTTCAGGTACTAGCGATGATCGCGGGAAGACGCCGACATGATCCGTACACACTAGCAGAAGATTTATTTTATGATCTTGGGATATGTTTTTATCATGATGACATTTGTTAAACATGATATTTGAGAATATTGAATAAGTTTTATGTTGTTTGAAAAATGAAAAATTGTTTTAATTTTACGTCGTTACAGTTTTCCTCTGAGCAGGGGGGGCCACTCGGAGGAGGTGGTAAGTTTTTAGTCGGAATGGAAGGAGCGGAGGATGAGGAAAGGATCGGTTGTGTAGACATGGTTTTCTCGGGGACTTCTGACACCACGGCCCCACGGTGGACGCCAAATTTTTTTGGTAAAAAACTGCTTAAGTGCTAATCAACCAAATTGAATGAGAGGCTGTGTTGTTCAAAATGTATACTCACAAATGATAAACGAAAGTGACACGATGGTTTACAAGGAAAGTCATTGATATAAAATGTTGATTACAACGAATTATAAGTAAGAATTAGTGAATAATTTCGTAATTTCATAGAGTAAGCTTCTAGTCAGAAAAAGCAATGTGTTGTGTGCAGATTACAAGTGTCAATTTATAGTCTAAACTAACCAACAAGATGTCCGATATTTTCGGGATCCTCTATGACCAACTTCATGAATGTTATTTGACCAAGTATTCCGGATCTTTAGCATTGTTGAGATGATTCTTCATTGAGAATTAGTCTTCCCTTAACTACTTCTGCACACGTGTTAATTATAGACAAAATATGGCCGTTATAAATATTAATAAAAATAATAACGGTAATTAGTTGGGATATGGAGGTAGCCGAGGATCCTGAATATTGTTAGGATTCTGGCCCTAACAGATGATGTTTTTTGAATATACCAAACTTCGATGGTGCTTTTGAAGGATTTTAAAACATAGTTACCCTCCTGAGTCATTTCCTCTTGTTTTTTTCCCTTTAATATTTTTTACCGGTAACTTTCGGCAGGGTCGGTCATGAAGATTTAATTATCCTCAAATGCGCTATATGAGCTAGAAAAATGGCCCTTATTGCTATTATAATGTTTTTTTAAATAAATATATACAAATATATATATATATATATATATATATATATATATATATATATATATATATATATATATGTATAAAATAAAAATTGGGCCCCTAAGAATATTTGGACCCTGTGCAGATGTTCACTTTGCCCCTCCTCAACGCCCCTTATGACTATCGGTTACCATAAGGTGAAATTCGAAGAAAATATATTGTTTGTTAGTGTTTTTTTTACAAAAACTTTACTTGTAAGATATTTTTTAAACAGAACAAACTTAAATGATATAAAAGATTCTTGTTTTTTTTCGCTCTATAAATATTGTTAAGAGGCTTCTGATGTGAAAAAAAAGTTTGACGTTGAATTGAACTTCTGATAAGAAAATAAATACATTTTTCTTATATTACTCTCTTGATACATAATCTAATGCTTTGAAAACAAAATTTCTTATATTGAATTCAAAGTGTCATTCTATTATTACTTAATATTCATATTTCATAGGCGAAGTTATAGTCTTTTTTTTTCTCTAAGATAAAAGTCTTATTGGCACAAATCGTGAGGGAATGCTAGACGTATGGTAACTTCTCTTCCGATCAGGATAAAAGATCACATTGAAGCAGTTGATCTCATGCATATTGTATGTACTTCGGTTACACAAATTGCATGATATCATAAAGAACCACCCATAGTATTACCCACCGTGATGAGAGTTTATAAACAAATACAGATCTTTGGTACCATCCTCGGTACTGAGATATATCACAAGACCAATAAGTTGATTTGAGATATCACTATCAACCTTTTGACCTAAAAAAGTAATGTTACTCGATAAATTCGGTTCATTAGGGTCAAATTGTATCTCTTCGGAACCATACAAGCGTCTTTTGATGCATATGGTTCAAAAAAAATATGTGTAGATTCCAATACTTTTTTTTTTTTTTTTCATAGCAAATCCCTTCTAAAAAAAAAATTGTTTTTTTTGCTTTCTTGTTAACGTTTACTATCAAAAAAAAAAAAAAATACATTTAACTTATTTCATTAACTTGAGTTATTGATGGATTTTTTCATAGCCATTCAATCCAAACCTTTTAAACAATTTTGGAACATAATTACCTAAGTCATTTTCCCTAAACCAAAAATTGCTTACCCTTGTTATTGCCTTTGACTTTTATTCTAAATTTTTCTTGTGTGATCTCCATAAACGGCAATTCCAAGGGGTCCACTCCACTGACTTCAGTAAAGAGCCGCTTGAACTCAAAACGGATTCGAAAATGGGGGCGATTAAAGGCGGTGAAATGGTTTACATGATATACAGAGCTATCACATATGGTCTATCACCGCTGATAAATCTTCATCTCCGGTGGCGCAAGTTCCGAGGCCTCGAGCATCCTCTCCGGTGGCCGGAACGCCTCGGTCGACCGTCTCTCCCTCGGCCCCCTGGCTCCCTTATCTGGTTCCACGCCGTTTCCCTAGGTTTTACATATCTCTCTAGAAATCCTGTTATACTATATGTTTGTAGAATGTATGAATACGATGATGTTTGTAAATTCATAAATTAAGATTATGAAAGTGACCAACAGGTGAAGGAATGAGTGTGGTGCCTGTGATTAAACGATGTGTTGAACGAAGACCGGATGTAACTGTTTTGATGACGACAACTACAGCATCTGCATTGTAAGTATCAGTCGTATTCTATCTCCTTTTCATATCCCCTCAAGCAAAATCCTAATACTAATCTTTTGATTCCTTTCTATCGTTGTTACAGTGAAGTTCTAAAGACTTTGCTTCCTTGTGATGTCATATATCAGGTACATATATATGTTTATATCTCACGATACAGGTTACATTCGCTAACTTTCTGTATGAATTCAGTTCCATTCATGATTATTGAACCCTAATTCAGTTTGCTCCAGTTGATACACCTGCTGCTGTGAATGCTTTTCTTGAATATTGGAAGCCCTATGCACTTGTGCTAGTAGAAAGTGAACTATGGCCAAATCTTGTTCTTACTGCCTCAGCAAATGGTGTTAGTATAATATAAATATAATTATATAATTTACCATTACCTTTTCATTCACTTTTGTTTTTCAAATCAATGAATTCAACTTAACCTATTTGCTTTCATCTTGTGTAGGTTATGCTAACATTATTAAATGCTCGAATGTCAACAAAATCCTTTAACAACTGGTCAACACCAGTAATTCGTCTACTTACTTCATTAATGCTATCCAAATTTTCACTCATAGTTCCATTGGTATGATCTCCTTTACTTCATTCTTGAATTCACATCTCTGTTATAAAATCTTTACACTTGTATTCTATTCCAGAGCAATATTCAGGCAATTAGTTTTCAACTGCTGCAAGCTCCACCTTCTATCATCAACTTCTCTGGTGACCTAAAACTTGGTATGTCTCATGTCCCATAAACTCTATACTCCCTTTTATGACAGTTATTCACTGATACATGATGTTGTGTTTTCAGGAACTGAAGTCAATGTAAGTCAAAACATGAGAAATATAGAAGATCTACAGGAAGATATTACTGATAGATGTGTCTGGATGGCTTCATCAATACATAAGGGTGAAGAAGAAGGTGATGTGATGATGATTAAGTGATTAACTGATTACTAAAACTCTTAACATTCTTTTAACAGAAAGTGGTAATAGTAAATACATTTTGATCATTTTTTTTACAGTAATGGTATCAGTTCATAGAGCCTTAATGCAAAAGCACATCAATATTCTTGCCATAATTGTTCCTAGGCATCCAGATCTAGGGCAGGAGATTGCTCTTGTATCATTCCATGATTTCATCTCAACTTTCTCTTTATTTATTATTATAAGTTATAACTTACTAAATTTTTTTTTTAAATATTATGTATACAGGACTTGCAGAAAAAAGGGGTCCATGTGGCGCTGAGGTCACGTGGTGATTCACTTACATCTGAAACGAGTGTATACGTGGTGGACACATTAGGTTTTTTTTTTTGTCTTTTTAAAATAAATAAGTGTGATTTTTTATTTTTTGTATTTCAGTTGAATTCTCATAGAATAAAAATGTTTTCTTTAATGTAGGAGAATTGAGGGAATTTTACAGATTTACCCCTATAGCTGTAATCGGAGGTTCTTTCTTGCCTGGTTTAACTGGCCATAATATCTCCGAGGCTGCTGCTGTAGGTTGTGCTGTTTTGACTGGTGAGTAAATTTAAAATTAAATTTTTTTTTAATGAACTTTTTGAGATTTTGTTGATTTGGTAATGTTAGGTCAACATGTTGGTCATTTCTCACATATGATCATGGCAATGAAGAGGTTGAATCCTTTATCAGTAATACAGGTTGAATTTTTTAAAACAAGTGAATATTTGGGCCTTGTAAAACTCTTTATTAATATTTGGTAATATGACATAATTGCCCCTACAGGTAGGTGGAGGTATGGAGCTAGAAGAAATTCTAGACAAGCTTCTCAGTGATCCTGAACTTCTAGAAGCACATCGCATGGCTGCTAAGCAAACATTTCGTGCTCTTTCAAGTGGGGTTATTGAAAATGTTTGGAACCTTCTAGAACTTCATATTTACAGAAAAATTCACACACAAGGATCTTGATTTTGGTTGGAGTATTAAAACAACAGATAACACATGATTGTACATATCTCAAAAAGAAATTCATCACAAAAGTGTGTGAAATACTAATCTCATTTTGAAAGATTGTTGTGGATAAAGAGTTGACTTATGCATGTAGATTTGTAGTCTCTTTTAATCCTTAAACATATGAATCAATATTGTATCTTAAAATTGACCATCGGTTTTACAATTGACACTCAAGTCATGTTCTATGTAGGATTTATCTATTGGTTTAACATGTTTCATGTTAATTGTGTTGTTGATGGCGATGGATTATTGACATATGATTGTAAGATTTAGATAATGTTCGATAGTAATTGACTAAGTTAGATTCAAATGACCAAATTAGTGACTTGTAATTGTGGTATCAAAATGACTGAGGACTAAGTCAAATTCAACCAAACTAGATATCAAAGAACTATGCATCTATTATTAGACCACCGACAATATCACTATACTTGTTTTATAAACAATTATATTATTACCTGTTTCTTTACAACATTCATAATCACAGACAATATTCACAATGGCCACTAAGGTGATGGTTTACTTTTTATTTTATTTTTTTGGTTTTACCCAAATAAGTAATCATGATTCTTTTTATGTCAAAGTTGAAAAATGAAAAAGAGGAAGAGGAAGCATGCCTTTGGGAGCTTTTTACCTTCTTCCATGTGGGTACTTTTAAAACACCAATCATGCCTCCAACCACCCTTTCTCCATACTCCTTTTTCTTAATTCAACCCTCATTAGTCCATAAGATTTGAGATTTTGTTTGGAATGTTTTAATTTTGCATTTCGATATCACCAATTTTTGTTATGTGGTTATTGGTTAACTTAAAGTATGAATAATTCATATGAAAAGCGATTATTGAAATGGTTAAAAATATCAAATGCAACGATTGTTGAAGAAATGTACTCATTTTATGGAAGGCCACTGTCAAAGAAGTTTCCTATGTCGTAAATGTAAATATGTAATTATAATGTTAAAATGAGTGGATCCACATGCATTACAATGATTGTTTATTATTTCTTATCTACAACTTTTCTTGTAGGTAATTATGGAGAGAAAAAGATCATGATGAAAATTATAAATTTAACATAATAATGAAACCAAAAAAATATCTTAAAATCTTTCATTAACTATTATTAGTGGACGTGTCGAACGCTGCAAGGGGTAATGTAACAAGGTAATTGTTTTTACTTTAGGGCAAAGTAATCAATTTTTATGTGCGAATTAAAAGATATGATGATTTGTTAAATGGGATTGACTAAAGAGACATCCCATTTTACCATATAAACATCCTAATTATATTTCGAAATAATTTTTAGGCATTGTTTTGTTAATACATATTTACAAACAATTAATATATTTACAAACAATTAATGTATTAAAATAATATTTTTATGCATCGTGGCTAAATAGCAGTTATAATTAAATATTAAGTCTTTGTTATCTTTTTGTTAGTTTATGTATTTTAGTTAAAATTTATATCACTAAAAAGTAATTGTCAATATTTTAATTACATAAATATTAAATATTAAAATACGAAATATAGGTTTAGACTTATTTTTAAAATATCCATACTGAAATATTTTTTATTTATTTAAACGTTAATGTTGAGTAATATTAGTTTTTGGAAATTTGATGAATACTTAAAAATGATAAAATTTATAATTTTATGATGGAGTTTGATAAATATTTAAAGTATAGAAGAATAAAATATTTAATTAACAAGAAAACTTTTGAAGGTTTTAAGAATTAAAGAACATTTGTGATAATATTTTAAAAAGTTAAATACAAAAAATGTCTAACAACAGAGCTTATATATTTAAGATTTTCGGAAAATTTATACTTTAGTCTCAAATCTTTATTCTAACATAAAAGTGTCGATTATTTTTGTAAAAAAACGATAATATCATTTCCTATCAAAAAAATATTTTTTTGTTAATTTGAACCAAAAATAAATAATATTGACGTTTTATGTTTGAAAAAAGAAACTTATACTAAAATATAATATTTTTGAAAATATTAGAAATTTCCTAACAATTTACTTATATATTTTCAAATAATGAATTAATGTTTTATTACGACATGAGTTGACCCATTTTGTTTTTTAGTGATGTTTTTTTGTTTTATGTTTTTAACTTTATATCCTTTATAAATATAACGCAAGTATATTAATTCGTTTTTATATCCATTTTGCAAAATGCAAATTGAGTAATTTTATTTTTGTGAAAAAAGAGCACTTATTATTGTGCTTTTTCACTTTGAAAAGCATGCTCTATATCACACTTCTTTCCCGCGTAACCATCTCTCCATCTTTCCCAATGGAGGTTTTCCGGTTTCTTTGTCTCCTCCTTCTCCTCCTCCTCCCAATTTCTATCTCCCTCTCCACAACCGCCGACGTCGACGGTGACACCGCCGCCTTATCTCTATTCCGATCACAAACCGACACTCATGGCATCCTCCTCTCTAACTGGACTCTCTCTTCCATCACTCACTCCACCGCCTGCTCCGCCCCTTGGACAGGTGTCCAATGCACCAACAACCGAGTCACCGGCCTCTCCCTCCCTTCCCTCAACCTCCGCGGCCCCCTCGACTCTCTCTCCTCTCTAGACCAACTCCGCATTCTCGATCTTCGCGACAACCGCCTTAACGGCACTGTTTTACCCCTCGCCAACTGCACGAACCTCAAACTCATATATCTCTCCGGCAACGATTTATCCGGATCTATTCCGACGGAAATATCGTCTCTCACTCGACTTTTACGCATAGACCTCTCCGATAACAACCTCATAGGTCCGATCCCAGATGGAATCTCGAAATTAACTCGTCTTCTCACACTCCGCCTCGAGAACAACGAGATTTCAGGTGAGATCCCGCAGTCTCTATCTTCTCTGTCGCAAATTAAACAACTGAATTTGTCAAACAATGAGTTGTACGGTCATTTGCCGGAGAATATTGCTCAGAAGTTCGGTGACAAGAGCTTTTCCGGCAACAAAGGACTCTGCGGATCAAGTCCGTTGCCTGCTTGTTCAGCCGCTACACCTCCCCTGACAGTACAGTCAAACCCTAGCTCGTTACCTACTACCACAATCATCGATGAGACAAAAAAGCAAACACATAGAGGGCTACATCCAGCAGCCATCGTAGCGATCGTGATCGCAAATTCAGTACTACTACTTGTGATCGCTTCGTTCCTAATTGCATATTACTGTGGGAAGAGATCGGTAACCTCAAATTCAAAATTGGGTTCTGAGATCGGAAAAGGCAGAAGCAGCTACGGCAGCGAAAGCAGAGTATATGCTAACAATGGCGGTGGTGGAGACAGTGATGGGAACAACAAACTGGTGTTCTTCGATAAGAAGAAGAAGTTCGAATTAGAGGATTTATTGCGAGCGTCGGCAGAGATGCTTGGGAAAGGAAGTTTGGGGACGGTGTATAGGGCGGTGCTTGACGACGGGTGCACGGTTGTGGCTGTGAAAAGGCTGAAAGATGCAAATCCTTGTGGAAGGAAGGAGTTCGAACAGTATATGGATGTAATTGGGAAGCTTAAACACCAAAATGTAGTGAAATTGAGAGCTTATTACTATGCTAAGGAAGAGAAGCTTCTTGTCTACGATTATCTCCCTAATGGAAGCTTGCATTTTCTCCTCCATGGTAATTCTCATAATCTCATTCCCTACTCTTTTTTCATAATTAATCAGTTTTGTTTCATCTTTGTCAACGTGGGGTTTGCGATTTTGATCTAATCGAATCTTGCATTTGCTCCTTCACGATACTTCTCAAATCCCCACTTCCGTTTTTAACTGATTGGTATCATCGCAGATGTGGGATTCGATCTATTGATTTACGTAATTAAAGTAACTAATTAGGTTTAATATCAAATTTTGAAAAGTTTGGTTTGTAAAAAATTTAAAATATATTAATGTGAAACGACAAAATTATCCTTATTACAGGAAATAGGGGTCCCGGGAGAATTCCATTAGATTGGACGACAAGAATCAGCTTGGCACTAGGGGCAGCCCGCGGGTTAGCCCGTATCCACGAAGAACACAAGACTTCAAGAATCCCCCACGGAAACATAAGATCATCAAACGTTCTACTTGACAAAAACGGAGTCGCTTGCATATCTGATTTCGGGTTATCATTACTTCTAAACCCCGCTCACGCCACCGCTAGACTAGGAGGGTACAAGGCACCCGAGCAATTCGAAACCAAAAGACTCTCTCAAAAAGCAGACGTTTACAGTTTCGGCATTTTACTACTAGAACTACTAACCGGCAAAGCTCCATCAATATACCCTTCGCCTTCCCGCATCAGCGTCGATGAAGAGGAACAAGTTGTGGATTTACCGAAATGGGTTCGGTCAGTGGTGCGTGACGAGTGGACTGCCGAAGTGTTTGACCAGGAATTATTGAGGTACAAGAACATCGAGGAGGAGCTTGTTTCGATGCTTCATGTTGCCATGACTTGTGTAGCGGCACAGCCTGAAAAGCGACCGACGATGGTGGAAGTTGTGAAGATGATAGAAGAAATAAGAGTGGAGATGTCTCCGATAGGGGAAGATTATGAGGAGTCGCGTAATTCAATGTCGCCTTCGGTTGCAACAACGGAAGACTAGACTGACTGTTATGATGGTTCTTCCATCTGGTTTATGTGATAATGTTTTATGGTGTACTTTTTCGTGTTTGGTTTGCAGGATTTGTTATGTGTTTGTGATTATTAGTATCGGTGATGTAACTTTAAAGTCGTAAATTAATTTGACGATTCGTCGAATATGTTTGTGGATGTTCAATCAAAATCCTTTTTTCCTAAGATTTGAGAAATCATTATAAGTTTTATGTTTTTTTTATAATGAAAATCTTAGATTATAAAACTGAAAATGTTTTGTGACAATTGGTATTCGTTGATTTGTGTCAAGATGATGACATATGGAGATATGTGGGATGAATAAACGCGGACTTAAATTTCAAAATTTAAAGAAAAATTAAGGAGAGTTGTAAGCTCATTTTTGGCTTGGTGTGGTATGATGATGTCCCTCTCTATCACTTTACTTTACTCCAATTTCTTTGCTTTTTTATGCTTTTACATCTTTGACTTCATTTTCACTCGAACCAAAAAAGTCTACAATTTTGGTTTGAACAATATATATTTAAGGTGTTTATGGATTAATGTCCTTATTATCATTATTTGTTCATCTACATTTGTTAATTTATAAAATGATTTAACATTTT